TCAGCATCTTCATCTCGCCTCGTCACATCTCTGCATGTTCTGCATCCGATTACACCCCGTTGCAAGGAGCGCTCCCGCGCACGAATATGATGTATATTGAAAGGCCTATTGGAGTAGTAGGTACGGCAACATCCGGAACCTTGTAGAACAATCTGACAGTATGTAGAATTATCTGGCATGTTCTATTTAGTATGACTCGGCCATGAGCCCGTATGACTCAGGCTTCTCTGAGCAGTATTTAAGCAGCTGTATTCTGCACTATGCATAATAACATCTTTATCTTGAACCACTACAACTTTCTGTGTGATTATCTGGCACGCTCACCCCGTGCCCAACCTCATCTAAGTAAACTGCGCCAATAAGGCCCACAGCGAAAACTTGCCCTAGGAGGAACCCAGATGACGACGGAGACACACAGCGAGTAGTTTTAGTGAATGTAAACAATACTACTGTACTATCCAGACCAAGTGTTCACGTAACGCGTAACACGACCCTGTGAACTGAACACTTTTGGTACCCGTGACCGTAACACTGGGCAAATGAACACCTAATTTTTTGAAGTCCTAAATAGGCTTAAAACACTTTAAAAAACACTGCAAATTTTGCGCTAGATGTGGCGAATCACCGGGAATGTAATCTAATCTAATCTAATGCTCCTCCCAAAGTGAGCCTTGATAGCGCGTCGTCACCGTCTTTTTACGCTGTCACCGTTGTTGACTTTCTCGGCCAGATTCGGAGCTGTATCTTTGGGCCGCACATGTCGCGGTCCTACGGGGAGCGCAGCGCGCTCGTCCGCAAGACAATTTTCCTCACCGACCCGCGGGTGATCATGCACTTCTACAACTCTGAGCGCACGGTATATGTGAGGACGGAGAGCACCAGGGTCTTTCAGTTACTCCCACAAGATGCTGATCCGGCTGACAGTTAGGACGCAGTTTTATGGTCAGAAGGGGAAACACATAAATGGCACGCTCTGGCAGTTGGTAGCCATGGGGAGATCCTTCACCCCTGAATTGTACGAATTGGCATATAAGGTCCTCGTACAAATTGTGTTCCTGCTCAAATTGAACTATTCGGGTTGAGCTCAAATCCTTGTGGGATGTGATTGTGTGTTCGATCATATCAAAGCGTGTCCCCGAATGTTTATTATGTCCTGTCCATCGGCTAAGCAGCTCACACTTCACACCAACGATTATCATATTTAGGGCCCACCCAGGTGCAATTCGAACACCCAAGTGTCGAATTGCACATAGGTGGACCTGAAATTTAATTTACTTCTAGTACTTTTGGTCCCACTGATTTTGTAACCTAATGTAATAGAATAAAATTATGATTTGGCTGCCCTGAAACCCATTTGAAAGCCTACAATTTAGATTACACGAAAGTCCAACTGAAATTGAAAACCAAAATCACACCAACAATTATCATATTTTGGGTGAGCTGAAACTTTATTCGAAACGAGTCCGCAAATTTTCCCATTGGTCCGGGAAATGCCGAATCAATGGGAAATTTCTCGGATTAGTTTCGAATAAAGTTTCAGGTCACCCAAAATATAATAATCATCAGTGTGATTTTCGGTTTTCAATCTCAGTTGGACTTTTGTGTAATCTAAATTGTAGGCTTTCAAATGGGTTTCATGGCAGCCAAATCATAATTTTATTCTATTATTTTAGGTTACAAAATCAGTGGGACCAAAAGTACTAGAAGTAAATTAAATTTCAGGTCCACCTATGTGCAATTCGACACTTGAGTGTTCAAATTGCACCAGGGTGGGCCCTAAATATGATAATTGTCAGTGTGCTTGCAGTCTCCAGATGCCCTTGGCGTGCTCCTGCTCTATCTGATAATCTGAATCCTGTCCTTGAGGTTGGCTGGAGGGCGAAGTGCACTGTTCAAAAGTTGTTGCTATCGTTCATGGAAACCGGGATTCTCATACCAGCGGTCCGATAAAAAGGCACGGGAAACTTTTTGCGCTGACACTCCCGGCCGTGCCACTTGGCTCCGAGCTTTGATCGTGGCAATCGAGATGAATGTGAATGCCGCCTTTACACAGGAGACACCGGCTCTGCTTTCTCAATTCGTACTTGAATTCGGTCGAGCTTGAGCAATTTTGTCTCTCATGTCAAGTTTGATTCAAGCTGACTTGGCTTTTTATTCCCACGATTTTCATCCCATGACCATCGGCAACCTCGTGCCGTGCCGTGCGATGCGGAAGCGGCCTGCCTTCCTCCTCTTCGTCCGCCTCCATTGGCCAAGTGCTCTCGCCTTTCTACCACCCGCCCATAACGTGCGATGCCTGGCCTCAATTCCTTCTCTCAATCCCGAGCTGAAGAGCTCTCATCGCAATGGAAAGGCACCAACTTCCTCGGAGGAACGACCAAGAACTTTATCGATGGAGAGTTTAGGGAGAGCAAGACCGAGAAGTGGATTGACGTCTTGGATCCGGTGCGTCGCATAGCAGACGATATAATGGATAATGACTGACGGTGTCATTCAGGCTACGCAAACCCTGCTGTCGCGTGTCCCAGAAACGACCCCTGAAGGTGAGCTACACGGCTGACCATTTGGCTAACTAGTATCAATGATTATCGATCTTGAAGAATTTGAGAGCGCCGTCGAGGCCGCGCATAAGGCTTTCCAGACCTGGAAGAAGACGAGTGTGTTGAAGCGACAGCGCTTCGCGTTGGAGTAAGGAGACTGGAATCCGCAGAACTTCGGATTACCGCTGGAACTGACGCGAGTCCTATAGACTTCAGGCTTTAATCCGCGAAAACATGGATACTATCGCCAACGCCATCGTTCTTGAGCAGGGCAAAACCTTCGCAGGTAAACCAACCGCTTCTCTCCCGTACATGTGCTAAATGAAAGTAGATGCGCAGGGTGATGTCCTTCGCGGTCTGCAAGTCGTCGAGTCGGCCTGTGCTATACCTACGACGTTAATGGGGGAGAAGCTGGAAGTCAGCAAGGATATGGACACGGAAACCCGAAAGATTCCCTTAGGTGTTTGCGCTAGGTGAGTTTCCTCCCGAGTCATATATAGCGAACCTGACGGTCGTGGGCCAGCATTGCACCCTTCAACTTCCCTGCGTAGGATGCTCCTGTTTTTCGTTGTACCCTCTCTCTTACTCCCCAATGTCGCAGCATGATTCCTCTCTGGACGATCCCCATAGCAATCGTCACCGGGAATACTCTCATCATCAAGCCCTCCGAGCGCGATCCAGGCGCGGCGATGATGATCGCTGAACTCTGTCAACGTGCAGGTTAATCCCACCTCTAAATTCATTTTGTTGACCGATTATCAACACATTCACATCACAGGTCTACCCGCCGGTGTCCTCAACGTGGTCCACGGAACCATCCCAACCGTCAACGCCATCTGCACGCACCCCAAAATCAAGGCGATCAGTTTCGTAGGCGGAAACAAGGCTGGACAACACATCTATGAACTGTGCGCTCGTTCTCGTGGCGAAGAGCAGCCGGAGTACTGATGTATGCGCAGTGGTACGAAGAACGGTAAACGCGTGCAAGTACGTTGGAGAGTCGGATGCCTGCGAAATCGTGATCTAATTTTCGCGATTTGAACACAGTGCAATATGGGGGCGAAGAACCATGCTGTCATTATGCCGGATGGTACGTCGAGATGGGAGGCTTCAACATTCCGTGATCCTGATGCGTGTTTTCGTGGAGCAAACAAAGACCAGGCTTTGAACGCCCTCCTTGGGGCGGCTTGCGGAGGTGAGCGCCGTATTTTCGTCCGCTAACAATCGAGGATGCTCATATGCCAATTCAGCTGCCGGACAACGGTGTATGGCCATCTCCGTCGGTAGGATTCCTTGGACAATGTCAGACAAGTTCGGTTACTGAACTATAACACAGCGGTCTTCGTGGGCGCTGCCCAGAAATTCCTCCCGGAGTTGATTACAAGAGCCAGCAAACTTCAGGTCAACCAAGGTTTTGAGAAGGGTGCCGAGTTGTGAGTGCGCTCCTCCACCCGCACCCAGGACGATACGTAATATCAACGCGTTCAGTGGTCCTGTAACCACACCCGCCGCAAAAGCTCGCATCGAAGGCTACATCGACCAAGCGGAGAAGGAAGGGGGCAAGATCCTCCTCGACGGACGGAATATCCAAGTCCCGAACTACCCGAACGGCAACTTCGTCGGCGCTACTCTCATCGAGGCCACTATGACCTTGACCGCGTACAAGTGAGCACCATCACTCCCTCGGCGTCTGTGGCAACCTGCTGATCATCGCGTTCTTCAGAGAGGAGATTTTCGGGCCCGTACTGTGCGTCATGAACGTAGGCACGCTCGACGAGGCCATCGAGCTCGTCAACGCCAACCCGTTCGGCAACGGTGCGGCGGTCTTCACCCAGTCGGGCCCCATCGCGCGGAAATTTGAGACGGAGATCGAGGCGGGGCAGATTGGGATCAACGTTCCGATTCCGGTGCCGTTGCCTATGTTCTCGTGGACTGGAAATAATATGTCTTTTCCTTATTTCCGGCGATGTGCGAAGTTGACGACTGATTTACAGGGGAGCTTCCTGGGCGATATCAATTTCTACGGCAAGGGGTCAGTATTCTTCTTGAAATTCTCTTTCTCTTTTTCGCATCTCACATCTGATTATTCTGTAAATGTAGAGGTATCAACTTTTACACTCAGACTAAGGTCAGGGTCACTATACATGATTCGAGTTCTTTTACTGACCCGAAGAGATGTAGACGACCACAACCCTCTGGCGGTCGGACGACGCCCATGTTGCTGGAGAAGGCGCGTCGGTGAACATGCCTGTGCTGAAGTAGATGATGTATATACTGACTGTACTTGTACTGAACTTGGAATTTGTGAATCTTCGAGGGAGAATTTGTTCTTGCCGCGCCTATGTTCACCAAACGCGAGCCCAGAATCCCCGCGAGAGAGCTATATACAACCATATCCAGATCAAAGTATATCCCGGGGCCAGATTTAGCCTACGCCAGCGCAACGACGCAACTCTTGTCAGCCTCGTGGTCTAATGGTAACGACACCAGTGGACCTTTACATGTAGAAAGCTGGAGATTGCGAGTTCGATTCCCGCCGAGGCAGTGGCGTCTTTTTAATTTACCACCGCGCGACTTACGTCTGGCAGAATGTCACTCAGCTGGCGTGAAGACAGGATCTGACTTGAAATAACTGGTGCTTGTATATGTTTGGTTGATGGAGTAGGCGTGTGGTGTCCACGTGATTGTTACATGGATGGATAGGTGTGGATCATGCCACGACCACCCCTAAAAAAGGCAACTTCCATCAGTTCATCAAACCTCAGTCCGGATATTTCTGCGTGACAAAGGCATGAACTCCCCAGATAATATACCTGACCAAGGCTTCCTATATGCATTCCGATGTAAACACAACATTTTGAGGCTTACCATAGACAGGGAGGATGGCGAACCAACTCTCGGCCATCACTGCCGCTTGCCATCAGTTGCCATCATCGTATACCTGAACCGACTCTTTAACTCCGCCACGACACTATAGGCGGTGTGTCAGTAGGAGCTTGCACGGAATTTCATTGACGCACCCGGGATCGCCTGCATTGACACTGCATTTTATGGCGAGCGTCCTCACCGCGCCTGTATCTGAAGATTCTCCTGGCGGATATTCGTAGCCGAGATCTGAGACCAATGGTACGAATATATACTAAAGAAGGAAGATATCAGGAATACCTCAACAAGACCTGAATCACGAACGCGATCCAGACTGTAGAGCCTACGGACGATGCTGACATTCTCCCACCAGGCGTTCAGTAATGTAATCCGGTTAGGTTTGCAGCCATGCCGTCCAAGATAATATCTGCGAAGAACGCGTCACCCAGATGAATTCCGAGTCGGTTGATCCGTACACTTTGTCTCCCCCGCAAGCTTAGCAATCAATGTGAGTGCGTTGCTCAGCTTGGCAAGGTTCGCTTTTGCCAGCGCCATCGCGTCGTCCATAAGTCCCACCCGATCGCAAATACCTCCCTTGGCCGCTTCCAACGCCAGTTTGTTTAGTTTATCCGAATCATAGTGGACGCGGTCTGTCGAATTCACTTAAAAGAATTACACGGCCCTGATATGCACGGTTTACAGAATCCAACCGTAGATGCATTCAATTTGAAGGGCTTGCTCATGTCAAGCGCAATACATTTGGAACGTTCAGACAGAAAAATCGACTTGTCGATCCCTGGATTATTATCTGAATTGAAAGCTAAAATATTTAACGGGACAGTCCTGCTCCACGTTAATCAGGGAGCAGATAATGGATGAATGGACTTACCAGATTGTCTCATCATCCTTTGGGGCCGCAATCCCACTTTCCAAGAACCGGTTCTGGCGGACGTCTATCCCTCCCGGGGATTCAGTGACGGTGATTACTGGGTACCCAGTCTATTTGCCACGGTCAGTATTTCTCTCAGCGCTAAACCAACTCGGTGACCTTCGTGATCCAATTCTCCATCAGCATCGTGACGTCCATGCCTGTGGGGCGATCAGCTAATATCGTTCAATAGTTGGATGGGACATACCACTGGCGCGACTAAGTGCATCCCATAGATCTCCCGCGACGCTGTTTCCAAACTGACGCTCCTTCAAATAGAGTGAAACACCTTTGAAGAACAGGTCTTCTTCTAGCAAGCTCGAAAGCATCCTTAGCACTAAATAAGGGTTTGAGTCAATTTTGGATGAATAATGGGGATCTACGGGAAGCCGCATTCAGGTAGGAAATTTCGACCACTATCTATCGGACATGAGGGAATAGTATGGCGGTCCGGATGCACTTTTATTCCCACGCAAAAGTTGTACGACCCCGCCCCTAAAACTCGGTGTTTTCCTGCCTCCAGCGCTAAAAACAGCCACCCCCATGAGGCAATTTGTGATGCGCGCAACTCGAACCTCCGCGCAAAATAAACTCGACCCCGTGCAAAGAGATAAAGTCAAATCCCGGCAACAAAAACACAATTTCCCCCTCACAAAACAGAGAAACAGATATGGTGTACCTGCACACACGGCTTCCTTTTGGATAAGCAGGGATCGATTAGTGGTGTTTCCCACGGTTTAGGTTACTCACCTTCGTCGTAGAATCCCAAAAAAAAAACAGCTTCTGAACAGTTTTGCCCATCTCCACCAACTGAGCTGACCCAGCGCAGATGACTAGGTGAGAATTAGGGTCCGGTGGGCCTGTAAAAGTGTGTGAACAATGGTACGTATCAGCATGGAAGAAGCATTTTTATCTTACAATAGCATTGAATCCTAAGCCCGTTAACTTGCGAAGGTTTGCGTAAAGTGAAGCACCTTATCAATTCGGTGCCTATGACCAAAATTTGGAACACCAGATGCTGTTATTAACGAACCACCCTTCAATCAAGAATGTGAAGGATGCACTCGGTATTCGGCTAGAAATTATACCGCCAAGGTGGACTGCTCACACCCATGCTGGATCTGGTAATAAAAATCCAGCTTTGGCTGAATCAACAGTGTCACTTACCTGAATCCTGAAAGGTAGCCTCTGGAGGATAGCTGCTCCATGGACTAACACAATAAGATTAAGCAGGTACTTCAGAGAGGTTCTTATGGTTGAGCAATTGAAATCAGACTTCAATGCGGCTGTTGGATGAGAGTTGTAAATCAAACAAGTGCAATGAACTGTTGGAGGCCCATTGGAGACAGGAAATAGGAGGGTGACCTGTGAGAATGGGGGTATTCGCAGAGGAGGGGAAAAGTGGGGAAGCAAGATCAAGATGATTTATTCAAGAAATCTGAGGGCTTTTATAGCCTGGAGAACAATGTAGTATACAAGCATAAATAGAGAGGTTTGAAAAATGGAGCATCCGAGGTTTCAGACCAGCTGAAACCACTTCCATAGAAACGCTATGTGTCCATGCAACCGTAGCTGTTTCAGTTTGCTGTGCGTGTCCATGCAAACCGTAGCACAGTTTCAGTTCGTCGGCTTGCCATTATTCCAACATGACCGACCATGCACTGAAACTCCGAATGATGGTGAATTTGAAATGCCGAAGTTGTGGCTGCACGTATGGTTTGGGTAACTAAATGTGCAACCACTCTGGTTCCTTCAAGTAAGCTGCAGTTCATGCAGGAGGACCTGATATCTAATTGTGTAGGGTTACTGTACATACAAATAGTAGTGGACTGCTGAATACTGACTGGTGGAAGGCCAGAATACAGAGAAGTTGAAGGAGACTCTGAAAGCCATTGATATCGTCTTTGAGGTGGGGATTAAACCTGAAGTTGAAAGTGGAAGACCCACAATGATATACCCGCTTACTTTAGAACCTCTCGAACAAGAATTGTGAAGCCATCAGCATAATTACTATAAATCAGCACTCGATATTGACTTCGAAGAATGAAGGGAATCGTTCCAGTGGGACCTGGCCCCATGGATTCGATCAAGTCTTTTGCTTGTTTCTTTTAGGCGGGGACAATTTATGTTTTTTGTGTGGGACTTGACTTTATTGCGGAGGTCGAGTTTATTTTGCGCGGAGGTTCGAGTTGCGCGCATCAAAAACTGCCCCATGGGGGTGGCTGTTTTTAGTGCGGGAGGCCGGAAAACACCGAGTTTTAGGGGGGACGTAAAACTTTTGCGCGGGAATAAAAGTGCATCCGGACCGCCATAGAATAGGGACAGTGTTTTGCCCGCAATAAAGCCAACTGACCTCATTTACATGGTTGGCGTCTGGGCATTCCAATTGGACTGGGTGGGAGGAGAGCCTCGCATCCACATTCAACGCGATCTTGAAGGTACCGTTGACAACCGCCGCAGCGGTGTTCCATTCAGGATAAAGTCTACTTGGTTTCAGACCGTTGGATTACGAAGAAATAAAGCACCTCACTTATCTGTGGAGTATATATACATCTCAGTATCATCTCTCACCCGTAAACAAAGAGAGAAAAACCTGAGATGATACCTCCCAGCTACAGAAGATAAGTGCGTTTGATCATCAATAAATGCAGTGGACTCACGAGCATGGCAAACCCTGTACATATGGCGCGCCATGTCAATTATAAGTGTGGCGAATCTCTATCCTCCAGTCGCACGCGCCTTCGTTGAGCCATCTAAAGTTGAGGTGAAACTCTGGGACGAAACAACCATATCGGAGCATACAGATTATCCCACCACTCCATCGTTACGATGTTCCCAAACCTGGAAATAAAAATAAACGGAGGATACCATAGTGATGTATTCAACAGACCATTGATGTGCCAGTTCATGACTTGTGATATCCACCATGTGCTTCTGAGTTGCGGTGGAATCTTTTGCGGGGTTGAACCAGAACACATTTGGTTCCCCGACAACCAAACCCCAGTTCTCCAAAGCCCCTGTAGAAGGAGTAAGCACTGATCAAACTCGTGGCTGGCGTTTGCGAACCTAAGGCCCCAGTCGTCTTCACCAACATGAGAGAGATGTAATTAAATAAATTAACTTGCCACGTACATTCAAAATATCCATCTTCGGGAGGGGGTACTCCAAGTCGAACATTTGCTCCAAGAGGGGAAGGACATGTGTGACTAGATTAACAGAGAACTCGGCCTGGGCAATGAGGTTCGGTGTTGCTGATAATATGGATGAGCTGGAATCAATGAAGAGAATATATTGCCTACCGTAAGTTCGGACTGGACAGATCCTTCCGCTGAGAGGGCTGATATACGAGCTTTCGAGATGCTTAAAGGGACCGTTGGCATGTACGTTGACATTTTGGGGGTGGTTTCAAAATGTGTGGTGATCCACTCCATTGAATCATTGTCGAGGTCAAAGGACGGCTCGAGAGGATCGAGAATGGGATCGTACCCACCCTCAAAAACGACGGCATGTTGCTCAGGTTGACCGTCTCTACGCGCGATATGGGGGAGACCGCGAACATCGCCTTCAGTGCTGGCTCGTCCCAGCATGGGAGCACGCGTCTCGCGTACGTCAGCTGTAAATTGGTTTTGAGTCATTGGATACGGTCCAAAACCTCAAGCGTACCTCCAAGAATGTGGCAGAATAGTGCTCAGCTTTCCCTTGGTTGATCCATTCCGACTTGTAATATTCTGGGAAACTCTGAAGCGAGCCTC